CTACTCTATCTACCATGGGAATAACAGTTATCTAACCTTTTTAGTAAGGTTATTACAGCCCAAGGAAACCCAAAAGTACAACAAAAATGTAACGTGAGTAACCGTGGGATTGCCCTAAGGCATATTTCAAGATACTATGGTGTATGGTGTGTATGTTTGATGCCACGCTAGAGACTGAGGCCAGACTGCAACTTCGCGATCGTCAGTTGTCTGCATAGCACAGTACACAGTACACGTGTATACGAACTTTGACATTTTTACAAAGCGCTGCTTCTATCACTTGAGCCGATTGGTCCTTTGATTGCGGCACTCACTGAGTCAACCAATGGAAACGTTCATCTCAAGTTCCACATGTATTTCTGCACGCACTGTTCTCGATTTTGTACATGATTGAGTTGAGTAGGCTCATGGAGGCCTATTTCAAATCGATATTTTCACTTAATATTTTACTGATTTGCCTGAAACTGTTGGATCACATTAAGAACATTCCGTTGCATGTTTATCATGTTTACTATTGTTTACGATGAACTGGATGGGTGGAGCAATGCGTGCCACATTTTTCAACGATTGAATGGGATCTGACGGTGGTCCGTTGTCCTGTCGGACCCGCTGTCATGTTCTAGAATCGTGGCGCGGCGTGGGCAGCATCCAACACCACCACCATTTAGAAGACGGCCAACAGATTGATTTTATCACTAAAATAATGAATGATGAACAATAAAAAAAAAGCCTGCAGTCATATCATCTGGAAAATTTTGGGACGCAAATCTAAAACCTTCATTCTCATGGCCTTAAAAGAATATTATTTTTTTGCACATCTGACTGTTCATAGAAACAGAAGGCCAAGAAAAACCAGGCAATGACTCAAAATTTGGGAGAGGGGGAGGGCGGTAAATGCCCTTCTGTTCCCCAGTAAGGTTATAAATTGACTCCAAGCAACTAGCTAGTACACATATTCACCTGTTGCAACTGAGGGGGCGGGTACCTGAGCCTCCTGTTGCATTGTGGTAAATACACTGAGTGATAGTCTGATGGCAGGCTGCTTCAGATCACTCAGCCACAAACAGCAGTCCTGCGTGTCAATTATCAATAAAAATGCTCTGTTACATTTTGTTTGTTAGTAGTAATCTTGTTAATATTTTAAAGAGGTTGTGGAATGCTCGAAGACATTTCCGTCATTTTTCGGGTATATGTAGCCTAAGGTGTGATGAAATAAAAACGACTATTGTTTCTGTCATGAAATGAGTACAAAATGTACTTTTGAGAGCTGTTTTTCAGGTCCAGTTTTGACCCGAACGTGCAACTGTGTAAAAGTCGTCGTTGCGGGCAGCAAACAAAACACAGTAAATCGTAACGTAATAAACAGGACTCGTGTATGCTACGGTGCATCGGGAGTCCTGTTTATTACGTCACGATTTACTGTGTTTTGTTTGCTGCCCGCAACGACGACTTTTACACAGTTGCACGTTCGGGTCGAAACTGGACCTGAAAACAGCTCTCAAAAGTACCTTTTGTACTCATTTCATGACAGAAACAATAGTCGTTTTTATTTCATCACACCTTAGGCTACATATACCCGAAAAATGACGGAAATGTCTTCGAGCATTCCACAACCTCTTTAACATGAAGAAACATGCACACGACCAGTGGGTGGAGTGATTTCAAAAATCTATTGTGATGACGTGACGCTTTCGTAATACATACAGAAGACATGCATGACAGCCGTGGCAATGTCACGTTTTCTTGAGAATTGCCACTAAAATCATCCACAAATTTCATAGTCTTTCTTGTTCTGTTTGAAGTCTATTTTCATGAATGACTGCTGTATGCTATGAAGTATGTTTTATGGAATCTGGGTTGGGATAATAGAGGGAAAACGGACCATTTTTGTAATACACTGGGGATATAGTAGTCCAAAAATTTGGGACTCTCAATACTGTGTATGAGAGTCCCAAAACTTAAGGTATTGAAAACATGCAAAACAAGAGATTAGACTGGCACCTAAAACAACCAGTCCAACACAGCTTCAGTACTGCATCAATCAACCATGCCAAAAGAATTTAAGAAACATGTGGGATGAAGCGGGAACTAGTCTCGATTTACTACACATTTCTCCATAGTCAAGCCACCAGACTATTGTTGACACTGAATGAAGAGGTCAGTCTTTTCAAACAGTTGGACCATGGTTGGACATGTACCAGTCTAGTATGTAGCCCCATTTTGAAATCACTTGACTTCCCTCTCATGTACAAACTATTGAAGAAAAGTCTCCTTTAAAAATTGAATTGAGTCTGCAAACTTGGTTGGTGAAATACTGAGGACATTTTCTTTGCCCTAGTGACACATCTACCATGTCTACAAAAACAAAACATGCATGCCAAAAACATGTCAGCTTTCTCACTTCAATTTGTTGAACAGCCCTCCAAACTTCTTTCTTGCTGAGCTTCTGTCATCAGCACTGCACCTTCGAAACTGTAAAAATTACAATTTCAACGCCGTTGTCGAATTAAGTCCACAACAGCATTTCATGCATGTTCCTGTTCCTGCGTTCGTTAATTAAACGGCGCCCTCTTGAGGTTGCACACCATTTATTTATTTATTTGGACTCGCGAGTACGCGACGCTACGGTGGCCCCAAATTAACATTGCGATTTTGCTTGCACTTTGTTGCAGTTATTATGCAGAAATGCTGATGTCCGCGAGTTTTGTCTGTTTATGCCTTAATTTTTCACTTGATTTTCATCTGAATAAGAATGTCCGAAGTTTCTTTATCCACATTTGGTTGTCATCATTTCTACAGTCAGAACGGATTTAAGCCTGAATGCTGTTGTAAATATGCTTTGCTTGCACTGCAGTTTTAAGTGTCTTCACATTAATCTTAGACTTATTAGCACCAAATTAAAACTCATACAAAATATACGCAAAATATAAACATTTCATACCACCTGACCACCTTTAACTCTATTCTGCATGTATGAATGTATGTCAATTAATTTTTCCACGTTTAAAGTCAATTATCGCTGCAAAACACATTTCTTTTTTTCCTTCGCATAATTGTCATCAGTTTATAGTAGCCAGGGTTTTTTCAAGGGGGGGGGGGGGGGGGGGAGCATGTTATGAGGGGCACCAATTAAGAGCGGACCTAAAAAAACCCCAACATTTTCCCAAATTTCCAGGTCACCACAAGTGCTGCAAATTTCGACCAAAAAAAACAAACAAAAACGGGGGGGGGGGGGGGGGCTCTTTTGATGCCAGAGGGCCCTCGATCTTTTTTCTTATCAATTTGTTTGCATTTCATAAAGCTGTACACTTCTTAGGAAAGTACAAAAAAAAGAGATTCCTCTTTGTTTTAATAACTCAAAGAATATACTTTCAGACACTAGAAAGCTTCCTTATAATTGGCAAGCACTGAGCAAATTTCGGATTTTGTTGGGGATGGGGGGGGGGGGGCAATGGGAATTTGTGGGGGCACCCCCCCCCCCCCTAACTGATTGAACTAACCATGGCTGTAGCCTCCGTGAACTAACACTGCCCTATACTCATATCTCTAGACCTGTTCTGCAGTACATAGCAAACATAGCATTAGAGCAGATTTGCTGATTAATATGCAAGACCGGCCGCATCTTGACCTCTAGATTTTGACCAATCAGCGGGCGCTTAATTTCTATTTCGGGTCTTCGGTCATTCACTGTTGTTGCGTCATAGACATGGATACAAACGAAGACCCTAGACTCGGCAACAATAAACTGGTTGTGGTCGCGCCGCACTCTATATTAGGCAAAAAAAAAAAATAAGTCGGTCTCTGGTCAGCGCGCCCGTCAATTTTAATCATGCGCGTCGATCTTTTTTTCCCCAAAATGTTCCGAGGTAGCCCAAACAGTGCCCTCTATTTCCGCACCTCCTCAATGTTTTTTTACCAAAGAGCACCAAAGAATGGGAAATTGCACCAAGGCAAATGATCGAAAGCACCAAGGCAAATTATGGAGGACACCAATGTACATGAGGAGGACACCAAAAAAGCAAAGTAGTACCCACTTTGTCTGTACAATCCAAGCATGAAGAAAAAAAAGGAAAAAAAAAGCACAAAAAAAAAAAGCCGCGTGGCCGCGTCAGTTCCGGAACTTTGGTCTGACCAGAGACCGAATATTTTTTTCTTTTGGCCTTCTGTTACACTATACGCACCCCGCTGCTGTTGTATTACCAAATACTGCATTCGAATTGACCAATCACAAGTTTAGTCCTGATTTGGGAATGAAATAATGTCACGATTTAGTAAAGTCGACTCCGATAAAGTCCATATAGGAGACTTGGCTCCGTTGATAAGGCCAAAAAAAAAAGTATCCGGTTTCTGGTATGCGCGTGCGTCGCTGTAAGCCATGCGCGTCGGCAAAATGAAAAAGTTTTTTTTTCTATGAAAGATGTCTCAAAACCGCCAAACTCACTGATTTGACTGGAATCCTGCTGCTGCACATTTTTAACGTGTTTTTAGATGGAGTTATGGTCGAGAATAAGCTTTATGTGGCCTCTCTGGACTCATATCCCATATAGGCCTATTTGTACTAAGTTTAGTCGGGCACCATTTGCAGTCATCAGCCGACATTTAAAGCAAAAAAGTCGGGTAAAAAAAAAAAAAAAAGCCGCGTCGCCGCACCACTTTTTGGGCAAGCTCCATACCAGAAACCAGAGACTTTTTTTTTGGCCTAACCGGCGTTACTCAGACTAGTTCTGCAGTAGCTAGAATAGGACTACTAACAATTTAAGGACAGCTGCTTCTTACAATGACAATACAATAAGGGCAAAATATAAAATGCGAAACAATGTAAAGTAAAAAAAATGCGAAACAATGTAAAGTGAAAAAATTTCAATTTATTTCAAAAATTAGAGTTACATCAAAATATAAAATTACATCATAATAAAATTGAATGATTTTTTTGAAAATGGATATTTGGTCCAAATTTCAGCTTAAAAAATTTCAATTTATTTCAAAAATTAGAGTTACATCAAAATATAAAATTACATCATAATAAAATTGAATGATTTTTTTGAAAATGGATATTTGGTCCAAATTTCAGCTTAAAAATTTATTCTGGTAAAAGTAGAATTTTGAAACTAGATTTCCACAAATGTTAGTACACGAGAACAAAGAGATGTCTCCACAAAGATACATATTTCAGTAAAAGGAATGGCAATGCAATATGGAAAATGAACAATATCAAATAGAATTTGTGGGCTTCGTCGCTACTTTGCTGTTCAAAGGTGTGTGCGAATGTTAACATTTGATAGAAAAATACAGCGTAAACCACACATCAGGCACCAATTATGTAGCCGGCATGATAGAATCAACTTTTACTAGTTTACGCCTTTCTTAATGTTTGCTATTGAGATTTTATTCTTTTCCAGCTAAATAGCGAAAACAAAAAATTCACAAGCTGTATATCATATAGTGTTCTCACCCAAAAAAAATATCTATATTTCAAAATGAAAATGCATGAGCACTTGATTTTAGTAAAAGATGATACATAAACTAAAGTAATACAATAAATCTTAAGAGAAAACTAGTACATGTATTTCAGCAGCCCATCTTCACTGGGAGTATGTAGTCTTGACTTGGTTGGGCTTGGCCTGGCTGGATCGATGGGGACTTGGCAGGAACTTGTCGGGAACTGTAGACTCGGCGGGATACATAGGCTGGATTTCTGTTGCCGTTGTGCCTAGAGCAGGACAAGAGAATAAACTTATAAGCATGGCAGGTTAACGGAGGATCAATATTAGGTTTTGCCCTTCACCGACGTATATTGGACTTGAACTCACAACCTCCTTTCTATTGCAGGTGCGTTCTATTGCGGGATCAGTTCGCTGGTTCGAATCTGATGTACATAGCAGTGGGTACCGCATTAACTATTCATAAGATGGAATTTGCGTCGGGGGCCAAATCAATTTTAGGTTTTGCCCTTCACCAACCTATCAACAGTGTGTTACCTCTCGAGCGAAAGTTGGACAAAATCAATAGGGTGGGACTCGAACCCACAACCTCCTGCTTTGTATATACGTCGGTGAAGGGCAAAACCTAATATTGATTTACATCACCATGCCGCAAATGCTGCAAATTCCATCTTATAAAAAAGAGGAGATGGGTGCTACAACGTACCAACAACCCTGTCTCTAGTGCAGTTCAGTGGCCATTAGTGAAGACAAAAGTCACCGGCCACCAAATTTATAACTCTAGATCTCGTGGTTGTGGTTGCAAGTTCTGCTACCCGGACCGCCCACACGCGCTGCCAACAATTCCCACATATTCCTAAGAAAGTGCATGATGACCTAATTCTGGGGAGTTAGGATTTAATAAAAAAAACTGGGGGCGCAAAATTCATCCCGTTACACAAACACAATTGCACTTGATTTGACCTAACGCTTTTCCCAAGTCAAAAAAATACACTTAATTGTCACCTTCCTGGTCAATTGACCCTAGTCAATTGTCATTTGACCAAGAAAAATGTCATTTTGACCCAGAAGTATGTCAGGTCAAATCTGACCCAGATTCCAGGTCGAATCTGACCCGGAACTTATAAGAGTGTATATAAGTTCGACTTTGATGACAAACCACTGTGTCATTATGTAGAAGGTGAACAGATTTGAGCTGACATTATTGTCAGGTTGACATAGACAATTGTCATTTTGACATACAAATTTATCATTATGCATACAATGCGCGGAGACATTTGGTTTTTGCAATGCAAGTAAATTATTTCTTTAATTTCTCTTCACATTACCCATGCACCGAGTATAAAGAAATGTACCTGTATTAACCCTGCAGACATTTGGCAATATCTTCTCTTCCGATGTTCTTCAATGCTGTGCACAACGTGGTCACCTGTTGTTTATCACTGGAGGACTGGGCCTGTTTCCATGATACAAGCATATCGAGAGCCTGCCTTATATAATTATTTGGGTATTTGTTCTCGATAGTCTCAACCTGTGTCGCGGAAAAACGCAGCTCCTTAAGTGCCAGTGATGTCCATTTTGCAGAAAGTTTCTCAGCAACCTCGTACAGAGTTTTGTCATCTAAACATGCTCCTGAACAAAAATGAAAAGAGTTTTGCTGCCAAAAATTAGAAGCAAAAACATTTGATTCGTAGCAAAATCAAGAAGTGCGTTGGACTTCCCAATGGTTTGGATTAGTGCTTTGCCACTATCAGGATCTTCGTCATAGAATTTCCGAATGTATTCTTTAACATCCTCGTCAGTAAACCCAGAACTTTTACGTGTGTGCAAGGATTTCGGGCAAGTAATTCCGACATCAGTGTCTCAAGATGAGAGGGGCGGGTCGATACACAGATGAAACATTCCTGGTATACTTTTCTGTTGAGTGCTTTTAGGATAAATCCGAAGATTTTTGGTCTTCATTTCATCAAAAGCATCCAAGAGAATCAAGACCTCATTTTGGTTGGCTAGGATGAATTTATCAAGTTCGTCTTTTTCTATTCCTGATTTTTCGCCAAGAATTTAATCGAAAGTGGAATCAACAAGGTTGGATTCTTGCGACAGGGCACGCATCTACTTAAAAGAAAGACAAGCTTGAACCTCTTCAGGATTTTGCTTGCCTCATTGGCCCATGCAGTCATATCTCATCAAAATTGGTTGACTTCCCCATTACTGGAACGAGCCCAGTCTAATAAGGCTTTCTTAGATGTAGGTAGCTCTCCAGCACTTAACTAGTTCGTCACTCGTCACTCAAATTCTAATGGGAGGTAAGTGACTCTGGACAATAACGCACATACATTGGGGATAGCCTGACTGTATGATCATGGAGCTATAAAAAAGGCTCCATGGTATGTTCTAGGACAAACCATGCACTTCTGCTACATGTGCGAACATATTTATGGTCATTAACTGATTGGAAGCCATTATCTCAGTAAGGTGCTCATGAATGCAAACCCGAGAATCCCGGGTTCGCGAAAGCCACATTAGACTGGTCTCAGTCCAGTATGCGACACCTCCCATGCCAAAGAAAATGAGGCGTTTGATGAGTTCCCCATTTTGGCATACTCTGTTGAGTTTCCAATTTCTCCTTTCTGGCCAGTCACTGCTACCCCTTCCTGTGTTTCTAACTGTACTTTCCAGCTATGTGCATTTGGCCATTATCAACCCCAGGCAACAACTGCACGTAATTGGCTGTTGTTTTATAAACTCCCTTCAAAATGTCCCTAGTCTTGATACCAGCTTCTTGGTAGGGATCCTCACCTTTTGGTTCTTGGCCTGGTGTCTGTTGAGGTCCGGGTGCAGGCGCTCCTATTCAGATCAAAACAAGAAAAAAAACAGCTCATGTTACCAACCATGATTATTCATGTCCCCTCCCCTATTAGCTCATTATTTCAATAATTTGTGCATGCAAGCAAAATTAATGTGTAACTTTTCAGATGAGTCACCCATAGGGGGCGCTACTTGTCGTGGATACATACAGGAACAAATTACAAGACTAAAACCACCATAAACAGCGCCCTCCTATTGTATCTACCATGTACTAGCTTATAGTTGTACCAAAGAAATTGGTGACTCTCTAGCTTGCACAACCAGCAATCGGTCTTTTGTGTCCACGTTTGTGTAGTATACCACCCCCCCCCCCACCCACCAAAACAAAAAAATTAAAAGTTCATTAACACTTCATTAGATATAAAATTGCTTTTATCTTAAAGGGAATATGCAACATTTGCTTTTGCTGTAATTTTCAGAAATGGATAGATTTGGGGGATTAGTATTTTATAGCAAATTATTGTTACACTGACTTGTTTGGAGTTTTGTGTTCATAGATGCTGGAAAAACCAAGAAAACAATCATGTTTATCTTGAAGTCTGGTTCTTTGACCCCACTTAAATTGAAATTGAGCAATTTATAGACGTCGGGGAATTGTAAGGTCAGGGAACCAGTCTATAAGGCTTTTACCCATTCATAGGTGTGTAATCGATTGCGCACAAAATTCATTAAATATGGTAAATTAGGGGCAGTATTTGACAAAAGCCAGCTTTTTCCAATGCTGGTCGGCCGACCCGCGTTGAAAATTGATACAAAAATACCACCTTTCTTGAAAATGACAGCACACCAGGTGCCATGATTTTACAGGATGCTTTAGACTGTCATAATTTACTAACAGTCCAGTAAGGTATTTCATAATAATTTGGTAGTTTTGTTTTTTTGATGTTTGCAAATATTGTATATTCCCTTTAAAGGGAAAATACAACATTTGCAAAATACCTTACTATGATGTTGGTAAATGACACGCTTAAGCATCCTGTAAAATTATGCACCTGGTGTAAAGCCATTTTCAAGAAAATGGTGTATTTGTATACATTTCCAACGCTGGTCGGTCGACCACCCTTGGAAAAGCGTAACTATTTTTCAATTACTGCTCCAAATTTACCATTTTCTTTAGTCTAAATTTTACTTTGGTGGCCATTGGTTCCATGTTCATGAACGGGTGCAGGCCAGCTAGACTGGTTCCCATACCTTACAATTTTTCCGGTATTTTTTATCCATTTCATCTTTAGTGGAGTCACGGAACCAGACTACTTGAATATTTTTGTTTTTCTTGGTTATTCCAGCATTTTCAAACACAAAACTTCAAACATGTCAGTGTAACAATATTTGATCTACTATACTAACCCCCCAAATAGTTCATTTCTGAAAATTACAGCAAAAGTCTTTTACATTCCTTTTTATAACAAACAAGGTTATATTTACCTGGTCTCTGTATCGGGTAGTTGTAATTATGGATACTAACTCCACATCCACCAACAATAGCAGGGCCGTTGTTACCGCTGATTGTACCAATGTTCCCGATGTATCCAGTTGGTTGTTGGGAACCTACAAGCAGAAGCAAAAAGTAAAATATCCTTTATAAAAAAACGCCGATAAAATGATACATGTACTTGATTCCATCTCCATTTGTCGTTTGTACTTGGATAACATTGCCTTTAAAGGGAATATACAACATTTTCAAACATAAAAAAAAACAAAGCTACCAAATTATTATGAAATATCTTAGTTGACTGTTAGTGAATGACGGTTTCATAAGTATCCTGTAAAATCATTGCACCTGGTAGGCCTATGCTGACATTTTCAACAAAATGGTATTTTTGTATCAATTTCCAACGCTGGTCAGCCGACCGACGTTGAAAAAAAAAAACTGGCTTTTTTTCAAATATGCCCCCAATTTACCATATTTATTTTAGTTTCAATTTTGTTTGCAACCGATAACACACCAATAAACAGGTACAAGCCAGCTAGACTAGTTCCCTGACCTAACAATTCCCAAATGTCTATAAATCTCTCCAAATGTTTCAATTTAAGTGGGGTCAGGGAACCAGACTAAAAGAGCAAGATGGTTTATCTTGGTTTTTCTACTAACACAGAACTTTTGAAAATTCTAGCAAAAGCAACTGTACTTGTACATATTTTTTCATCTGACCATTGATAGAAAAAGAAGTACATGAAGAAGCAGGCTATGAGTATGACTCAAAAAATACATTGAGGAGTGGGGGGTGTGAGGGTGGGGGGGGGGGGAAGTGGGGGTGGGGGTGGGGTGGGATGGTGAATGCCCCTCCACTCCCCAGTAAGGTTATAAATTGACTCCAAGCAACTAGCTAAGTTTACGGACTCACCTGTTGCGGCTGAGGGGGCTGCTTTAGGTTGTTTATCCATGGTTCTTTGGTAGTTCTAGGAGTAGGTACTTTGGATCACCCGGCCGGCCACAAATGGAAGTCCTGTTTGTCAATGATTAAGTAATGAAAAGCTGAAATAAAGCTGTTATTGTCTAGTGTACGTGTAAATATAACGTGCGCTGAAATTTATCAAACCTCAAAAGATCAGTTTGTATATTCCAAATTAGAATAACTTGTTCCACTGGAAAAGAGGTTCCTTTTGCCTTGTCATCAGTTGTCGTGGGTGTGTTAAAAACTCTGCTAAAATTATTGGCAAGTTTACCTATATCGTCAGACCTCCTAAAGCTACGCACTCCTATTTCTGCGCACTAGCTCGCCTTCAAGTTATATTTTGCAAGGCATGCATCCTAAAAAATGACATACATGTACTTTCACTGGGATCGTATCCTTTGATGCATGAACTTTAACCAGCAGCTGAAAATGATGTGGAAATTGAAGGCTTTACTAGGAATTCAGGCAAAAAAACGAAAAATATCGGCATTTTACTGATAATTTATTAAGTGCAAATGCAGGCAGATCGATGCTCCTGGGCCTGCAGAAGTTGAAAATATGACCGAAAGGTGACCTTTCTTGGTCTCCCAACATCGTCAGTATTATAGTTAAGATGTCATAGATAAGAATTTGTAGTTTCTACAAGGGTGTAAAACTTACGGTCCAACTAAAAAGACACATTTCTAATATTATATTGGATTTTTTTTGTCATAAGGTTTAAAATCCGACATCTTAAAAACTGTCTCTGTTGATTGGGATGATCAGAATAACAATATCATTGGGATCTACATTTAATAGGTAAATAAGTATAAAATCTATTTATGTAATACATGTAGATACATATAGGCCTTTGTATAAATCTCCAAAATGGGATATTGAAAATAATCTTGAAATTACAAAAAGGTTTTGGCATTGAAAAAGAATGTGTGTTTGAAAACTCAGGAAACATATTTTCCTAAAGCCAACAAGTCTAAGTTAATTATTAAAAAAAAAATGTATATCAATTGAGTTACATATCCATGGTCCGGATAGCCCCACTAGTGTGGCCGTCGGTATGCTGCGCTGAACCTCTGGCCACACTAGTGGGGCTATGGTCCGGACAGCACATATTTTTCTTCAAGTGTCCCCTGCGCAGGCTACCACCAGTGCGTAGTTTTTTGTTGTTTTTTACATCATTGTTGTGCCCATTCTTGAAAATCACGCATTCTCGAGAATGGGCATGCACATTCTCGAGAATGGGCGCGCATTCTTAAGAATGAGCGCCCATTCTTAAGAACGAGCACGCGTTCTTAAGAATGAGCGCTCATTCTTAAGATTGGGTGGGAATATCACGTGCACAATTTATGAATTTTGCCCAATCTTAACAAACATTGCACGACATAATTATGTTAAAAAAATTGTATAGCGGTTAAAAGGGAAACAATTCATATAAAGAGGAAAGAAAATGTGCTATGCTTCTGTACTCGTATAACTACGATAATTTGAATCAAATTAAACCTGTTATTATTGCTTTTTTCTGCCCACTATGGGAAGTTTTGTAATAACGGAGGACTGGGAACTAGTCTGGGAAGTGCTTTGTTTAGGCTAGACAAGTTACAAGTCCCTGCATGTATCATATGCGTGCCACGAAAAAAAACGATGTCCAGAAGCTGCCAAAATTGCTCTTTTGACTAGATAGAATCCAGCTCTGCGACGTTATGGTGGGATGTGAACAATAAATTGGTGGCAATTTAAATGGGAAATAGCATTAGCACTATGGGATGTCGCAGTATTCATTCTCATTCTTCACATTCTTCATTCTTACGTCCCCCCCCCCCCCCCGCTTTTATCATGGAGGAAGGAATTAATTCCTTCCTCCATGCTTTTATTATCCCAAAAATCAGAATTCTTTGCACTAGTATTATTATGTCTCTTATATTTTCCCGGTCCCCCCCCCCATATTAATACGCCTTTACTTATCATATCCACTCTACTTTTCAGCGCCTTGCGTTGCAACAGTATAATTATTGAGAATCAGTGAACGAGGATTCAGCTAGACTTGCCAAGCGCAGCCGGTGCTCGGCATCGACAAGACCGTTATCTTGTCGCGCATTCTCGAGAATGTGCGCTCAATCTGGAAGAGTTATTTTTGCCAAGATTGAGCAAGGATCCAGTTGCACATTCTCAAGAATGTGCATGCCCATTCTCGAGAATGCGTGATTTTCAAGAATGGGCACAACATTCGCATTGCATCATGGGTATGGATGACAAACAAAACCTACGACTCGACTCGAGGCAGCGCAGCCAGTCTTGTTTAGGTGTTTCACATTAACAATAACATGTCAAATATGACGAAACTTTGTCAGTTTGGAGATTAAATACAATATGAAATGTCCACTTACCTCAGAAAAGTGTCTGTAGTATTTATCTGTGAGAACAGACCTGTTGAATTTGAGCAAGATTTTGGAAGTGGGCGGCAATGGCAATACGAACCATTGTGGCGCCCAGTAAATGGGATTTGCCTTACGTCATAGCAAAAAATAAACGGGGAACCCCCATAGCCAATCAGCAAGGGCGCCCTCAGTCTAGGGAAGCCCTCTGCGCGATGCGCCCGCTGGAGTTCCGAAGGGGAGATGAGTATTTGTTAATTTCTTGTATTATTATCAATTCATTTTATAGGATGCCACATTCGGGTTTCGTTGCGCTTAAAATAGTATTTAGTGGGTTTCGTTTTCCATTTTCCATATACAATTTTTCTTTTTTTGTTTCGGTAAACAAGTTTTTTCAAAGTTTTTAGTTGTTGCGGTACGTGTTTCTGTTCCAAAGTAAAGCAAATAATTAAATACATTGTATTGTCGAAATACAAAATGTTGTTTTTATTTACAAATGGAAAACGGTGCCTTTATTATTCGTTTTCTTCGCTATACATATTTAAGGAATACTGTAACTCGGTAGTCGATACCGTCCCTTTTTCTTCATACAGATTCCGAAACGGGAAAAGGTAAAGGGTTCGTTTTTCCTTTTCTTTTGACAGAAAACGGTAAACGGAAAAGGTTTCGTTTTTCCTTTATCTTTATTCGATTATAACGGTATTAATTGATTGGTATATGTACTCGAATCGTTTAGTCTGTCATGCTTTGCCAATTTGCTCTTAATTATGTTGGCGCGAACCAGCGCACATACCGTCTATTATAAAAGGCTATTCGCGACGTGCATGTTGATATTCTGCTCGCGTGGAGCTAAAAATAAAGCGAGGGAACTCATTGCATTACTGAACAAGTGTATTTTACAATCAAAATGGCGAACAGCGAGGTTCGAGAGTTGTGCAACATCGTTGATAGGTAACCCAGAAGTGCGCGAGAATTATTTTGTTGGGCTTCGCTCGGGCGTTGCATCATATAACAGCCTTCAATTCCAGTTTCTTCTGTTTACAAAACAAAACAAATTAAGGTACAGTACAGTGCAACATAACACACACTGTAAAAATTGACTGCACCTCATGCATCTGTGCGCTAGCACATTGTTGTCCCCAAATCATGAACACTTAAGGCTCTCGGCAGGAAACTGAGGCCGTTGAGATTATTTGCAACAACACAAAAGTGACGCTCAATTGCATGCGTTGTTCTTATTAGGAGGTTGCCAGTTATGTATCATGGTGTACTTGAAGCACATAGGGTGACAGTCGGCTTAACCTCAGGCGTGTGTTTCACCCAACGTTGACACTTCACGTGCATCAACTTGTTCAATTCACGTGTATGACGTGGAGTCCCTTTTTACAGTGCAATAATTGATACAAATATTAATGATCGATCACACCAGAACCAATAGTGAGATACAAACATAATGTATTTGGCTTAATGAAAATCAGAATGCACTCCATACGTCTACTCTCGGCCACTACTTGCAAACAATGGAGAATTTCCAGTTTTGTATTTTAAAGAGTTTTAATGTGTGATTACAAATCAATGAAAAACAGGAAAATATCTAATCCGCTTGAATAATTTGAAACTCTAAAAGTCTTTCAATTCAGAAACTTTGTAAATAAAGTGAATCTTTTATCATCTTAGCCAATACAAGACACTGTGATAGACTGTTTGACATCACACTTGACTGCTATCGAAAATGTTAGAAAATTCTTTCAATTTTCTTTGAATCCATATTTCAATCAATCAATCAATAACTCTATATTCCACATAACATGGTGCAACAGATTTGAACGGATAAAATTAAGATACATTTATCTTTGATTTTAAGATAAATGTGGACGGAGGTCATCCGAAAAGCAGAGCTTGTCGAGTTGGGGCCCTCACATTAATTCATGGTTCGACACATGATTATGACATAATGACACTTACACATTGGTTAGACAAAACAATATGATTAGTAACAGAAATAAGGAACAAATAAACGAAACCTGTAACCAGTAACCCCGTGAGATTTCATCAGTTTCCAAATAATTATTCATTAAACAAGTCTTATATTTACGTTTAAATAGAGACAGACTGGATGCACTTTTTAAGGAAGTGTCCAACGAGTTCCACAGCTTAGGACCCTCATGCTTAGTTTTGGTTGCAAGCTTGATGGTGCAAAGAAACGATGAAATTCACTAAACTGTCTTGTAAAATATTGATGAATTGTATCATTTTTTATGAACATTGAACAAATATATTTGGGTAAGTTAGTATTGATGCATGAGGGTAGCTAGCTGGGAAGAATATCACTGACTTTTAATGTTTTACAGTGATAGAACAGAGGATTACTATGTTCTTGAAAAGAGGTCACATTTAATTTACACAAAACCTTTTTTGAATTTCAAAGGAGCTTCAAAATACAACATTTGCAAACATCACAAAACGAAATGATCAAATTATCACAAAATACCTTACTGGATTGTTAGGGAATGACAGTCTAAAGCATCCTGTAAAATCGTGGCTGCAATTGATTACACACCTGTATAGGGGTACAAGCCTGCTAGACTGATTCTTTGACCTTACAATTCACCAAAGTCTATAAACTGCTCCGTTTCATCTTAAGTGGGGTCAGGAAACCAGACTACAAGAACATGATTGGTTTTCCCAAGCATTTACAAGCCCAAAACGTGAAACAAGTCATTTTAACAATATTTGCTATAACATATACTAATCCTCCAAATCCATTTATTTCTGAAAATTGCAGCACAAGCAAATGTTGTACATTCACTTTAAGTATTCTATTATCATTCCAATGCCACAATTGCTCCATACAATATGATATGTATGGTAAGACTAAGGGCATTGTCTAAATTCAATAAATATCCTGTGTGAAGAATGCTGTTAGCTTACATAATGATGCCCATATTTCTGGATATGACCGAGCAGATATAAGTAATGCGCTTTTTCCATGAAAGGTCTTGGTCAATATACAATCCCAGAAATTTAGTGGAATCAGGGTGTGTAATAGTAGTTGGTACTTTTTTGGGGTAGTCTTGATTTTCAACGGATATAATCCCTAATACAGTTGCTTAGGCAACCGGTATCCCCGCCCCCTTTGATGCTGGGTCCGGGACAAAACAATGATTCCATCACTCGCAGTTTTTTTTTTTAAATCGATCTTCACATCGATCTTCGCACCAACGTTTATACAAATTATTAACAAAATTTAAACAATTTTGGTTTTAGTAATCTTAAAACCAGACGAATAGACATTTCTTTCAACGGTATTTACACAAATGTACAATTGTCAGGCCAACGCGTCTATAAAAATATAATTTATTTACAAAAATATACACGTAGTTGCCATCAGTGGTTGGATGAATCCCAAAAGTACTCGAATGTTACTCACTGTTTGAACGTTATACATAATTATATACTTGCATGCACGTTATTTGGCCAACAAGTTTGAACTTGTGAAGGAAATGGACTAAAACACCCAAACAGCCTCAGTGTTTGATAAGAAATCAACGAGTACGATACATCCACTAGGTTTTCAAATCAACGATGTTTTCTTGCACACACGTTCGGGTTTGAAGCCTATTATAATTTTGTTTGCCAATTTAAAAGGTTTTGCAGATGCACAATCGGCAAATCAGATTTGACCCGAATCCAGGTCAGAGTTGACCTGGCACTTTTCCGGGTCAAAATTACACTAGCTTTCAAGCTAGGGCCACCTTTCCGGCCATTTGACCCAGATGATCCTCATTTCGACTAAAATAATCGTGATTTTGACATAGAAATTCTGCTTTCTGCTTTTTACATGCATTACAAACTGTCATTTTGACCCAGAAGTGTGTCAGGTCGAATCTGACACGGATTCCGGGTCGAATCTGACCCGGGACTTATAAGAGTGTACGTTTGACTTTGATGGCAAACCACTGTGTCAAACGTAGAGGGTGAACAGCTATGTCTTACACACAGCGTGACCCTGTACTGTACTGACGATCTGAATCGAGAGTGTACGATATTAATGTTTGAATTGCAAGCAGGCATTCTGGACTGAGACATTATTTTTTAGAGATCCGAGTCCCCGATTTCAGAGTGTTAATAAATAACACGTCGAATATCAACTCGTCCAAGTTTCCAGGACTATCCCTTCTTTTGTAATTTTGTTCAGCGCACTTAAATATCTCCAATTTCATTTTGTATTTACTTTTTGATATTTTCTTGTAGAAATTGTTTCTTTGTATTGAAAATGTCCACACTTGGAGTTTGTTTTTACCAGTCACCCATATGAACCGTAAGTGACGGGCTGCGGGACTGTAGGCCAAACCCATCCAATCCATCCAATCGGTGGTTGCCTCTTAGGTCCAAGTCAGTCAGTCTGGGCATGTCACCTGCAGCCGAGGCGATGTGTGTACCATGTCTGTCCGTGACAACTTGCATTTTCTCAGGTTCAGCTTATTTAAGTGTTTCATTTTCGGTAATTCATTGGCCCACAATAATCCGCCAAATGTGTTCCAAGAGATGTCCAAGTCAGTCAGACTGGGCATGTCACCTACAGCTGTGGCAATGTGTTTCATGTCTGTCGGTAACAAATTGCAACTTTCCAGGCTCAGCTTCTTTAAGTGCGTCATTTTCGGTAATTCCTTGGCCACGACTCAGCCAATTCACCCGATTTATCGTTTACCCCAAAGGGCCCAGGTGGTCAAGCTGGGCATGTCACCTACAGCCGAGGCGATGTATTTATTGTCTGTCGGTGACAAATCGCAACCGCCCAGGTCCAGCTCTTTTATGTGCGTCAGTTTTGGCAATTCTGTGGACCATGATGAAGCCGTTCCGCCCAATTCGTCGTTCGAAGCAAGACTCAAGTGAATCAGGCTGGGCATGTCACTTACAGACGAGGTAATGTGTTCAATGTCTTTTGCCTGTAGTTTGCATTGATATATAATAAGGTAGATGAGGCTTGTCAAGTGTTTGATGTGAGGGGCCCATTCTACAGCTCTACCTCCCAGTCCATCACAGTTCTCTAATTCAAGAAAGGTCAACCGTTGGTTGCATTTCAGTTCGGACAGAATTTTCACAAGAGCACTATTTCTCAGAGAACATTCTATGAGCCTAAAGGTGCTGAGGTTTTCCATGTAACCCAGGGCGAAGTCCAAATCACTGACCGAAGATGCGCGAGAAACCTCAATATCTGCAACGCATGTCAGTTGTGCTGTGCCGCTGTCGGACTTGCAGATGATTTCAAGAAAGTATAAGAGACTGTGGAAATCATTATTGTTACGCACATCGATAGTTGATGGGATATGCGTGCTGCTTGTGAGACCCCGTGGGACCCTTTCTGACTGGCTTTCAAAAAAGCAGTTTCGACAAATCGTATTTATAACGAATGATTTGTAGCTGCGCTCATCCTCATCGAACTTACTACGGCCAAGCAAGTTTACGATGTCTGTCATGCATTTCTCATTGTCACCAGAGCAAAAACGCAAAAGGTACTCATTTGAAACAACGCGATCTATTGTTGAACACAATGGCTCCAAACTGCGCTGAAATTCGCCTTTTTTTAAACTCTGCAAGTATTTCGCGGCACAGTATTGTTGCATAGTGTGCATGAATTGAATGCTGTTGTGGGATTTGAGATTTTTGATACCACTCTGTTTTGTTAGGATGCCTGCTTTTAGTGCCTGGTCTAGCACCTCCGGTTTAAACTCATCTTCTTGAAATGAGAATTGGCCACTCATGAGTCCACGCAGCGCAGTTTGTCCTATTTCGATCGGAACTGTTTTGGATACGTTTGATATTTTTGGCTTTCTCTTTTTTGCATCTGATGGTCTTTCCTTGTCCTCGTCTTTTGTTGAGAACATGTGATCAACTGCCTTATTGAAGAGGCGTGAAGTTGTTTTGGGGAGTTGTTTATTCTCCCTCCACAACAAGCACATAAGCAGCAGCAACATAGGTATCTTAGCAAAATCACGCAGCGTGTTGGACTTTTTAATGCTTTGGATTAGTGCTTCGCCACTATCAGAATCTTCGTTAAAGAATTTCCGAACGTATTCTTCAACATCCCCCTTTTTAAACCCCTGAACCTCTACGTGTGTGCAAGGATTTTGGACAAGTGATGGTGACGTCAGTGTCTCAAGATGAGAGGGGCGGGTTGCTACACAAATGCAACATTGACGGTATTTTCTTCTATTGAGTGATATTAGGATAGAACCGAACGGGGCTTCATCGAGTGCTTTGGTCATCATTTCATCAAACCCATCCAACAGAATCAAGACCTTATTTGGTTTGGCCTGGATGACTCTTTCAAGTTCATCTCTTGATATTCCTGAATCTTCGTCTAGAAGTTGATTTAATATGGAATCAACAAGATTGGATTCTTGACGCAGGGCACACATCTTTAAAAGAAAAACGAGATCGAATCTTTTCAGGAATTCGTTTTCACCCTCGGCCCAGTCGTATGCAATCTTATCAAAAATGGTTGACTTCCCTACCCCTCCTTCGCCAACGAAAATGAGGCGTTTGATGAGTTCCTCAGTTCCTTTCCTTAATCTGAATATTTTGTCATACTCTATTGAGTTTACAGTTTCTCCTCTTTGGCTACTTTTTTTAGCAGTTTTCCCTGTAGGCGTACAGACAACTGCTACCCCTTCCCGTGTTTCTAACCGTACTTTGGTGTAAATACTAGCTATGTGCATTTGGTCATTAGCAACCCTAGGCAGCAACTGCACGTAACTGCCTGTTGTTTGATAAACTCTCTTCAAAATGTCCCTAGTCTTGTTACCGACATCTTGGTAGCTAGGAGCCCCCAGCCTTGGTTCTTGGTCTGGGCTCTGACTGTGCTGAGGTCTGTGTGCAGGCACTCCTATTCAGATCAAAACAAGCAACATGAATTGGTTCAATAAATTTGTTCCTGAAAAGGAACGAATAGTCTTCCAAAACATAGAACATAACACAAGAGGATTTCCATTGGGATTCCCAGGGGCGTAAATTCCCGGGGGATGGGGGTATAATACCCCCACTTTTGACCGGGGGGGGGGAGATGGGCTACCGAATCATTCCCCAAACTTTTTGGTGATGAGAAAAAAAATGTGGATTTGTGGATTTGAACATCCCAACAACCCAAACGTAATTCAATAGCACTGAAATGTGGAGAAACAAAGTAATACAGCTTTTAAAAAGCGCCGTTTTTGACGTATAAGCGTGAGTATACATATTGATATACATCTATATCTATATCCTGAAGAGCACCCCCTAGTGTAATGTGGTGCCCGGCCCCAGACCCCCCCCCCCCGCCCCCCTTTCGAATTTCCACAGGTGGGCAATTTTGTAAAATTTTGTCATCCCCCATCTCCCTTCCCCCACTCGCCGGCACAGATTTACGTCATTGGGGAGTCCAGTATGGTTTGAGATGCAAATATATTGTGAATGTGTTGACTTTTATTTTTGCACTACCGTTAGTCGGTGGTATTCTCTGTTGTGTCCTTGCTAAATGTTGCCTTAAAGTTACTTTTTGACACGGACCAAAAATACATTCAGACATAATTAAAGCCGGTAACCGCAGGTGTTCAAAAACTTGATCAGACACCACTATCCCACGATTGACTAAGATGATAATAATAATCATTATCAACATCATCTTCTTGTGGTGATCACTACATGTTTAAAACTCCAAATTAGTCATATTGGATTCTTATTGAAAAGTTACTCAGTCAATCGCAATAAATGACCCCTTATGTTGTTCACTTATACTAACCATCTTTATCCATATGTTTTTCCCGAGCAGTATCATTATTACATTTGTTCATGTCTTAATCAAAGTCAATGTGCGATATCTGTTTTTTAGATATGGCACTTTGACAAACAATAGGGGGCACTATTTGGCGCGGGTACATTAATATAGAAGAACAGAATACCGGTCACAAATCTAAGACTGTTACCTCTTCCTATTTTGCCCACCATACCTTGAACAGGCTAATACATCTACCAAATAAATTGACGACATTTGCAGTCTCTTTTGTTTACACATGAGCATTTGATTCAAGATATCAACCAAAAATGTAATTAAAAAAATCAGATTTGAGTACCTGGTCCCTGTAATGGGAAGATGTTAGTGATACTAACTCCACGTGCACCAACAACAAAAGAATTGTGGCTACCGCTGACTTCACTGATGTTTCCGATGGTTCCAGTTTGTTGTGAGGTATCTAAAATCAGAAGTACGAATATCATCTGTAGTTGTCACGTTCTTGGAAAACCGTGGATTTTAACGAAGCCAGAGTGAGTCAAAATCTAAATAACATTAACTCTGATTCTTTTCTTAAAAGCAACCAAATTATTTAGATACGCAAACGAAGCATGTCTAGCAAGAGCATGTTCTTCCACTCATCCAAAAAATAATGAGATCGATTGACGCTATCCAAACTTATAAATCGTAAAAGAACCTTTTTTTTAAACGTGTCTATGGAATGCCACTTTAAAGTATAACGCTGTTATTCAAATATGATGTACATAGCAGTGGGTACCTCATAAACTATTATAATATGGAGTTTTGCGTCGGGGTGATGTAAATCAAATAGTTTATGCGGTACCCGCTGCTATGTACATCAGATTCGAACCGGCCAACTGATCCCGTTAGCTCGGTGGTTGAGTGGTAAGACATCTGCACTAGAAAGCAGGAGGTCGTGGCTTCGAGTCCCACCTGAGTGATTTTTTTTCCAACTTTCACTCGGGAGGTAACACACTGAGTATACAGTGTTTATACGTCGGTGAACGGCAAAACCTAATTTGATTTACATCACTCCGACGCAAAAAAAAATACCAGCTCATGGTGTATAATTATTCCCTTTAAAAGAAGATCTTTCATTTTCATCTGACCATTCAAAGGAAAAGAAGTACATGAACAAAATCAGGCTATGACTCAAAAAAAGTTCAGGTACGTTTATAAATGAATCCTAGCAACCAGCTACAACGTACTCACCTGTTGCAGCTGAGGGTACGTGAGCCTCCTGTTGCATCATGGTCGGGACATCAGTCCGTTGGTAGGCTGCTTCAGATTGTTGCATCGTGGTAGGGACATCAGTCCGTTGGTAGGCTGCTGCAGATTGTTGCATCGTGGTGGGGACATCAGTCCACTGGTCGGCTGCTTCAGATTGTTGCATTGTGGTAGGGACATCAGTCCGTTGGTAGGCTGCTTCAGATTGTTGCATCGTGGTAGGGACATCAGTCCGTTGGCGGGCTGTTTTAGAGCGTGTGTTACCCATGGTACTTTGGATAGCCCGGCCTCAAGAGGAAGTCCTGTTTGTCAATGATTAATGAAAAGCTGTGTCACATATGTTGTTCTTTGGTAGGTAAACTTGCGAATAATATTTACGGATGTTTAAACACATCCAAAACCACTAAGAAGGTGAAAGGCAAGGCAAGCCTACAATGTAGTTTGGCTGCTTGGGACTCTCAATAAACCCGATTGGCATTCGCATCATAGGTAAGTTAAGGCGCTTGCCTCTCACCACTGTGGCCCGGGTTCGATTCCCGGCTCGGACCATATGTCAGTAGAGTTGTGCATTGATTCTCTTCTGTGCTACAAGGGTTTTTTTCCGGGCTGTCCAGTTTTCTTCCCTCCGCAAAAATCAACACTTTTGATCAATTGCTGTGCTCCATGGTCAGACATGGGTCCTTTGGCGGCTGCCTTAGGCACCTTTACATGCCTCTGGCTCAACCACGTTGTAGCCGCGTCCTTTGCAATGCAGATTCTCAGCTGCGAGTAAGGATGATTAGCCTCACAAACTATTCTTATTATACATTGGGTCATGGGTATGGATGACAAACAACCAATGCAGTTCATGCACAAACCTACGAGTTTTTTTTTTAATACAGTAATTTCCCAAACTGATTGTCAATTCAGCCATTAACGCACAGAAATTAGAAACAGGCCAGTAAGTTGTAAACAAAATTCACTTTTTAAACTTTAGAAATACAAGAAATAATATTGAAATTTCTTTCCAGGTAGGCTCAAACATCAGGCCCAGTGGGAACAGTTGTGATTGGTCAGTGTTGGAGCTGTGCGCTTGAAAGGTTGATTGTGATTATGGGAGGTAATATTCATACATGTTCTGATTGGCCAATATTGGCAGGGTCATACATATTCATAGAGCAATGAAACTGTTGTCTAAAATGGATTCCCTGAAATTTTTTTCATTCTGATCCATAATCTGATTTTTTTTTTTAATTAGGCCTTATCATGTTTCAAGTAAGGCCTGTCAAATGCAACAATGTTTAAATTTTTATAAATGATTGTCAATGAATTGTGCAGCCTCAAGCAGTCATTTTTAATCAGTTTACCTCTTAAGTTTTAATGTTTTTTTTTCATCAGTACTTTGGAATAAAATGGCACTTTAAGTCAGTCTTTTCATTGTCTTACATGGAACTAGCCCCATTAATGTGGCTGAAATACTCACCTCCGTATATTATTATCTGCCACAAAACTATGATACCCACATGCGTGGAACGTCACGTTGCTGGGGAGCAGAAAATCAAATTAAGTTTGGAATTATTTTGTCACTTTATAATCACCCAATCCATTCTACAACTTCTTATTAACAACAAAAGGTTGGACCTGAAGGCAAAAAGCAATGTACAGGGGTCCAAACAGTTTCGTCATTTTCTCTCAATTCCTCCAGGATATGTCCCACCTGTCGTTGGGAAAGTCTCTGAAAACATCTTGTGCATTTCGAACTGTAAAAGGGAATCGGAAACCAGCTGAAACTGGTTTCCGCCATAAAAGCTGCGCTAGTTCCCGACTCCCTATTATCGTTTGCAATGCACATGCTTTTACAAACGTGATCCAGTCTACTCATTATCATAATCGATGCATCGCGCGCGCTCGGTAACGGAATCGCACTCGGGATACGGGGACCATCGAATGTACGCTGGGCATGTAGAAGAAATCGCGTCGTTCAAACATTAAACACGATCGGAAATTTAACGTGTTCAAGATCGCGAGGGGAGCTTTCCGAAATGAACGGAAAATTTCACTTTTTTTCCGGATCGTAAGTAAACTTCAGTACAATCATCTTAATCATCGATGTCTACTTGTACCTCAGGTGGCATATCTAGTAATTTGGAGGCCGTTTTGGAGGTGAAATCTGATGTTTTTTTGTTGGAAAATGTTGGTTTTTGGGACAGTGACAGGATGATGTTGTCCAGGTCTAGTCCGAGTAACTTGGACCCAACTTATCGCCTTTTTTAACATTTGGACATGGTCTGGCGATAGTAAGGTCCAAGCTAATACCGCGACCTAGACAACACAGTCCCAAAAACCAGCATTTTCCAACAAAAAACATCAGATTTCACCTTCAAAACGGCCTCCAAATTACTAGATATGCCACCTGAGGTACAAGTAGACATCGATAATTAAGATGATTGTACTGAAGTTTACTTACGATCCGTAAAAAAGTGAAATTTTTGTTCATTTCGGAGAGCTCCCCTCGCGATCTTGAACACGTTAAATTTCCGATCATGTTTGAACGACGCAATTTCTTCTACATGCCCAGCGTACATTCGATGGTCCCCGTATCCCGAGTGCGATTCCTTTACCGAGCGCGCGCAATGCATCGATTATGATAATGAGTAGACTGGATCACGTTTGTAAACACATGTGCATTTCAAATGATAATAGGGAGTCGGGAACTAGCGCAGCTTTTATGGCGGGTACCAGTTCAAGCTGGTTCCCGATTCCCTTTTACAGTTCGAAATGCACATGTATGTGTTTACAAACGTGACTCATTATCATAATCGATGCATCGCGCGCGCTCGGTAACGGAATCGCACACGGGCATGTAGAAGAAATCGCGTCGTTCAAACATGATCGGAAATTTAACGTGTTCAAGATCGCGAGGGGAGCTCTCCGAAATGAACGAAAAATTTCACTTTTTTCCGGATCGTAAGTAAACTTCAGTACAACCATCTTAATTATCGATGTCTACTTGTACATCAGGTGGCATATCTAGTAATTTGGAGGCCGTTTTGAAGGTGAAATCTGATGTTTTTTGTTGGAAAATGTTGGTTTTTGGGACTGTGTTGTCTAGGTCGCGATATTAGCTTGGACCTTACTATCGCCAGACCATGTCCAAATGTTAAAAAAGGCGATAAGTTGGGTCCAAGTTACTCGGACTAGTCCAGGTTGCGGTATTAGCTTGGACCCCACTATCTGACTATCGCCAGACCATGATGTCCAAATGTTAAAAAAGGCGATAAGTTGGGTCCAAGCTACTCGGACTAGTCCAAATGTTAAAAAAAGTTAAAAAGTTGGGTCCAAGTTACTCGGACTACCCGTCTCCCACTTATCTGAGAACGACAATACCTTTGACATCCTAATTTCACTCTTAGTTGGAGGAACCAATCTACATGGGGCGAATGGGGATGGGGCGAAGCGAGGATGGGGCGAAGTGGTTAGGGGCGAAGTGACATGGGGCTACTCCTAGAACTATGAGGCTCCGCGTGAGCGGAGCCTCATAGATGTAGAAGCCCGCAAAAATGTCTGCAGCACAAAACACTAATAAAGTACAAAAACGTCCATCAAAATGCAGACATTTCACACAGAACCGCTGCACAGTTTGCCCCTTTACTCCGTACTTTACCTCTTGACATACTCACGTATCTTGGGCACAACTAACATAGGTGGATTCTGTCGGTTTTTAGGCCAAAATGATGAAAAATATGCCCTTTCCCCACTGAGCCAACCGAACACTTGAAACGTGCACGCATATGATCGAGCGATGATTTTCGGTTCGCTCGGAGCGCGCCGCGGGGGGTACGGTACATGCACTTGTACGCATGCACATACGAATACAGGTCAACTCGTACGCGAACCAACTCGTACGCGACCAACTCGTACGCGGGTCAATTCGTACGCGAACCGACTCGTACGCGGACCGACTCGTACGCGGACCGACTCGTACGCGGACCAACTCGTACGCGGACCAACTCGTACATGTGAGTTTAGATGATTGGTTTAGCTCACATGGACAGATGAAATTAGGTTCGGTACGGTAGGTCGGCATAATTTTACCTTTTCTGAAAGGTTGAGATTTTCAAATTAAATGTAGTTGATTTTTGAATCCGCCAGTGCTACTTACATTCGCGATTTTTTAGAGAAGAATTCTGCGTTTGTTTGTTTGTTTTTTTACAAGTTCGCTTGATTGATTGGGAAGTTGTCTTCGCGATAACCAGTATGATTGGTTCCCGCCACACCGCGCACTGTATAAAGAATGCATGATTGAATCGCTGAAACCTGTGTATGCCGCGGTACAATTGCTGGTTGGTTAGACAAGTAAAATGACAAGAAAACACCGATATTTGCGAGGTCTATTGTATAAAAAGGAGCTACTATAAAAAAAGGAATATAGCATCACGCATGCTTATACAGTTGTACGGACAGTGTCCGCCAGTTTTTGCTTGGGTCAGATAGTTTTTTAGTCCTAATTATTGTATATCCAAATAATGTTTTGTAAAAAAGAAAAAATGGGGAGTTGATTTTTATTTTTTGTTAAAATCTGAATTTTATATAATTTCACCGGAAATGCGAGGTTTCTTGGGTCAAATGCGATTTTCTTGGGTCACTAAAAATCAATGTTTTGCTTGGGTCCGATTATTTTTTAGTCCTAATTATTATGTATCCAAATTATATTTTGTAAATTAAAACAATGGGGAGGTCAATTGGGTCAGTTTGACAATGGTGACAATTAATTGACTGACAGGTACATTGATTAAAAAAACACGAAAAATGCAACTGGTACATCGTTGCATTAATATATGGAATTAAATTTGACGTGACAAGGCTACAGTACAGGTATGCACAAAACGATACAACACTCGTCTAACTACAAAAATCAGTTACTTTATTATCATCATTCACGGGTTCACTCCCAATCACACACAACGGTCACACATTGAACTACGGACTACCCGTCACACTATTCCCAAATTCTTCCCAACCATGCCAACCCAATCCTCGAAACCACTCCTAAAACGGCCCGCGTACGAGTTGGTTCGCGTACGAGTTGGCTCGCGTACGAGTTGGCTCGCGTACGAGTTGGCACGCGTACGAGTTGGCTCGCGTACGAGTTGTCTCGCGTACGAGTTGACCAATCCGCGTACGAGTTGACTCGCATACGAGTTGGTTCGCGTACGAGTTGACCTGTTTCCGCACATACTATCATTTCGCCTGTACCGAAATACTATCATTTCGTCAGTGCGGAAAGGGCATATTTTTCATCATTTTGGCCTAAAAACCGACAGAATCCACCTATGTTAGTTGTGCCCCAGATACGTGAGTATGCCAAGAGGTAAAGTACGGAGTATAGGGGCAAACTGTGCAGCGGTTCTGTGTGAAATGTCTGCATTTTGATGGACGTTTTTGTACTTTATTAGTGTTTTGTGCTGCAGACAATTTTGCGGGCTTCTACATCTATGAGGCTCCGCTCACGCGGAGCCTCATAGTTCTAGGAGTAACATGGGGCGACGTGGAAATGGGGCGACGTGGAAATGGGGCGAAGCGTCCGACACCCGCAAGGAATACGTCCAAGTGTTAAAAAAGGCGATAAGTTGGGTCCAAGTTACTCGGACTAGAGACTGAGAGACGGGACCGCTAGAGACTACTCAAGCTATGACAAATCTACAAAACATGCATGCCAAAAACATGTCAGCTTTCTCACTTCAATTTGTTGAACAGCCCTCCAAACTTCTTTCTTGCTGAGCTTTTGTCATCAGCACTGCACCTTCGAAACTGTAAAATTTACAATTTCAACGCCGTTGTCGAAGTCCACAACATAACACTACTCAACAGCAGTGTCACGCCCCAACTATCGCATCGGTCCCAACTATAGTTGGGCCTGTCCCAACTATAGTTGTGCCTGTCCCAACTGTAGTTGCACAGTTGGGCCTGTCCCAACTATAGTTAGGACGGTCCCAACTGTAAGTTCCATTGTTGGGCTGGCCCATCTATAGTTGGGCCACTCCGATCTTTTTATTTTGCGGTGTCCCAACTATAGTTTACATTGATGTACAACCATAAAACGTTCCCTACAGCTCTGATACACGTCTGACTTTACTGGGGACCACTGAAATTGAATGTCAGACAAGTCGACCGTTGAGACAACTCGACTCGGGACAAGTCGACCGTTGAGACAACTCGACCGTTGAGACAAGTCGGCCGTTGCGAGACAACTCGACTCGGGACAACTCGACCGTTGAGACAGCTAACGTGCATGGCACGTGCACGGTACGGCCACGCGGTTGACCGGAGATGCGCGCACAGGCCCGGCAAAAACGAACGATGTGCACGGACAATCACGCTTCGCTATATCGGCTCTGCTCTGTTACGTGTCATAACTCCCAAACGGCGATCAGCCGCCGTCAAAATCCCCGGTACTATCCCCAAAACTAGGCCCAAAAACATGCGAGGCGACTTGTCTCAACGGTCGACTTGTCTTTCCATTTATCGCACATACGGTCGAGTTGTCTCAACGGTCGAGTTGTCTCAACGGGCGACTTGTCCCGAGTCGAGTTGTCTCAACGGTCGACTTGTCTGACCCCCACTGAAATTAGCTATTGATGGGGCGAATCTATAGTTGGGCCACCCCAATCTTTTTATTTTGCGGTCCCAACTATAGTGTACATTGTTGTACGATTATAAAACATTCCCTACAATTAACTCTAATACACATCTGACTTTACTGGGGATCAATGAAATGATCTATGGGTGGGGACCATCTGTAGTTGGG